ATTGATTGTCTATGATTATGTGTAAACTCATTCTCATCATGTTCTTCTGAAAGTTGTCTTGAATCGGGTCGAATAAAAGATGTAGCTTGTTTATTGTGTTGAATATTATTTGTTATTATACGTTTCGATTTTCCAATTGAACTTTGAGATGAAAAACTTTTTTTAAATGATTTTGAATCATATGAATCACTTCCACTATAACGAAAAACACGTTTTAAATTTTTTAAACCATTTCCTGGTATTAAACTATTATTATTTAAATTATTATTATTATTATTAATTAATGATACTGTTGTTTGATATTGTTCATTATCACGTGTTAAAAAACGATAACGTTTTGAATTTAATGAATGTTTACGACATAATTTACGAAATTCTTTATCAACAAATGTTGTTTGAATTTGTTTTATAATTGGCCACAATGATAATGGTGTATCACCATATTTATTTTCTATTGTTATTGATCCATGATTATATATTAAGATTTCACATACATTATGTTGTAAACGTGCAGCTAAATGTAATGGACTAGAATATTGTTCATCACGTATATTTACATTTGCACCATATTTAAGTAAAAGTAAACAAGCATAATGATTATTACGTTGAGCAGCCAAAAATAATGGTGGTAAAGTAAATAAACGTTCAGTTGTATAATAATTAGTATAATCTAATGTACCATTACGACAAGGTGATGCACGAGGTAAATCAGATGATAAACGACTACTTATTTGACTAGAACTATTTGATAATATATATTGACTATTTGGATGAATACCACCAGCATTTGGATCAACACCACATTTTAAACAAATACGCATTACATCACGAGCATCTAAACAATGTTTTATTTTTATTTTTATTTTTATTTTTATTTTTATTCTATTATTTCAATTTTAGGATTATTAACAAATGACTATGTTCAATTTGAATAGCTCAAATTCGTCTTAAATTATAATGATTATCGAAAAAGAAAATGGATTAATTACGATATACGATATTAAATAGCGACATATTCAATAGATTAATATATTTTCATAAAACTAATATTAACTAATAATATTCTATATAAGATAAACATAATGGTGACTTCTTACATTAAATATAATTGATTTCATCAAAGACTCAAAATAATGATAATAGTAGATCTATTTCACAATGTTCTTATCATTCTATAGAATAAATTTAACATTTCAATATGTGTTAAAACAATAGAGACACTCAATCATAGAAGATGCAGTCTCTATCACTGAAAGGGTTAACTTTTTTGACACATAATAATAAACTATTCTCTTTAAGACTTACCGATATTAAACATCGAATGATCTTAAACAAGTTATAAATGGATAATTGTCTTGGATTATCCGTACATAAGATATTGATCTATGTCATTATATAGATCGACTATTATTACTAGAGTATGTGCTTAATCAATGTATACAGATAATTGAAGTTACTAAGGAGAAGAATTTTGAGTCCGATTAAGTTTCTGTCTAGAGCTGCAGCTAATAAGATTTTGAGGAAAATGATAATTACTTCTAAACTGTCTTCGAATAATATCCTATATACATCGATATATCAAGATAGTTGAAAGACGAACTATTATTCAATTAGTCATACTGTCAATTATAACGAATAATAATTATAATTTGTAATTTTCTGTTGAATCAAAAATAAGTCTTTAAAATGTTAATTATTAAATAAATTGATAAGAAAAATTAGATTCACAAATTCATCATTATTTTATTTCGTGACTTTATTTTTTTTTTTTTTTTTTTTTAAATTCTATTAAATGAATTGTTGTTTAAGAGAGAAAATAGATCAATATAAGTTTGATCGACTATAAATATATTTGAATTCGATAGATAGGTAATAAAACGTTTGAAATATCTGATAGACTTATTAATCTGTATAAGATTTCTTATGACATATTTGAAATAGAGAGAAGAAAGAAGAAAGAAGAAAGAAGAAAGAAGATAAAGCAACTATTTTATTATATTTATTTAAATAAAATATAATTAATATAGATCTTATTCTCAAGTGACATTTTCTACTCCTATAAAGTTAGTAGAATTGAAAAAAAATAAAAAAAAACTTTTCATTTTTTTTTTTTTATAAAAAACCAAAACAAAAAAACGAAAGAAAACATTGACTTAAATAAATACGTTGACATTTGTCTATAATTAATAATAATTGTTGAAAGAAGAATTTTCTATCTGTTTTATTGAAAAAGCTACAATATGGTCAATGAAAAACATTGATTGAAAAGGAAAAAAAAAATTTATTTTTTAGTTTGTACATTTCGTTTAACATCTTTCATAAACATCTAAACTTTAAAAGTTAATATAAATAAAACTATCGACTGATGATAGATTATCTAACTAAAATTTTATAATTTAATTATTTATCAGTTTTAATTAAGAATTTATATTTAAATTTATTCGATATGTTTAATATAATATTTTTCGTTTCATTTCAATATTCAATGGATTTCATTGATTAAGCTTTTTATGGATAATAGAAAAATACAAAGACTTTTTAGTTCGAAAGATAAAATTCATAATCATTGTTTAAAGATAACATCTTCATCTTAAATACAAAACTTTACTCTCTTTTATTTTTCTAGAAAAATATTATATTTCATTTGAGTAATCTCATTCGAAGTCAACCAGAAAAACATAAATAGTATTCACAATTTTTCTTTCATATCAAACTTTCTAGAACTTTTACACTAATCATTTTCGTAAAAATACTTTTC